ACGAGCTCGCAGATGACATACCGTTTCCAATGCTCACAGAATCACAAAAATCCATATCTCAATGGTTAATTTCCTGTGCCACTCACCAATCATTGAGACTTGTTCACACTCTGTCACATTCACTTCGACGTGCTACTGCTTTGGTTAACACCAACATCATACAACAAACGTTCATCCAACTCTTGCAATCACAAAACAGCGGCACAAAAACACACATAACATATATAATTTACAACCTCCACATATCACACCCTCTCCCAAAACTAATACAAATACTTTGCGCTTTAACTACCGAACAGGAATCTACTGTTAGCTGCAATGCATGCAAAGCAATTGGACAGATAGGCGAAGAAGCAGCGACAAATGAGATGATCACTGCTCTGCTGAATGCAATCCGTGTTAACGATGAAAACGTTCGACAGGCAGCGACTGAAGCACTTGGGAAGATGGGTGAAAAAGCAGCGACCAATGAGGTGATCACCACTCTGCTGAATGCAATCCGTCATGGACATCGAAGCGCCTCGGACTCCTCTGCAACCCTTGCCAAGATATGTGAAAAAGCAGCGGCCAATGAGGTGATCACTGTCCTGATAAATGCAATGCATGATACAGATGGACATGTCCGAAGTGCAGCGTCTCGAGCACTCGAAAATATGGGTGAAAAAGCAGCCACCAATGAGGTGATCACTGTCCTGATAAATGCAATGCATGATACAGATGGACATGTCCGAAGTGCAGCGTCTCGAGCACTCGGAAATATGGGTCAAAAAGCAGCGACCTATAAGGTGCTCACTGCTTTGCTAAATGCAGTGCGTGATAAAGATGAAAATGTGGCAAAAGAGGCCTCTAAAGCATTCAAAAACACCGCTAAAAAAGCGCCCGCCAACGAGGTGATCACTTCTGTGCTGAATACAATGCGTGATGGCCACACATATGCCCGGAGGGCGGCGACTGAAGCACTCAGAGAGATCGCTGAAAAGGCACCAAACAATGAGGTGATCACTGCTCTGCTAAATTCAATGCGTGACAAAGATAGAGATGTCAGAAGGGCGGCGCCTAAAGTACTCGGAGCTATCGGTGAAAAAGCAGCGACCAATGAGGTGATCGCTGCTCTGCTGAGTGCAATGAGCGATGAGGATACATATGTCGCAAGCGCCGCGACTCAAGCACTCGGAGAGATGGGTGAAAAAGCAGCGACCAATGAAGTGATCACTGCTCTGCTGAATGCAATGCGTGTTAACAATAGATATGTTCGAGAGGCGGCGACTGAAGCACTTGGGAAGATGGGTGAAAAAGCAGCGACCAACGAGATGATCACTGCTCTGCTAAATGCAATGCATGATAAAGATAGAGATGCCCGAAGGGCAGCAACTCGAGCACTCGGAAACATGGGTGAAAAAGCAGCGAACAATGAGGTGACCACTGCTCTGTTCAATGCAATGCGTGATAAAGATAAAGATGACCGACGGGCTGCGTCTCGAGCACTCAAAAATATCACTAAAAAAGCAGCGACCAATGAGGTGATCACAGCTCTGTTAAATGCAATGAGCGACAAGGATACATATGTCTCGAGGGCGGCGACTGAAGCACTCACAGAGAACGCTGAAAAGGCGCCAAACAATGACGCGATCACTGCTCTGCTAAATTCAATGCGTGACAAAGATAGAGATGTCAGAAGGGCGGCGCCTAAAGCACTCGGAGCTATCGGTGAAAAAGCAGCGACCAATGAGGTGATCGCTGCTCTGCTGAGTGCAATGAGCGATGAGGATACATATGTCCGAAGGGCGGCGTCTCAAGCACTCGGAGCTATCGGTGAAAAAGCAGCGACCAATGAGGTGATCACTACTCTGCTAAATGCAATGAGTGACGAAGACACATATGTCGGAAGCGCGGCGGCTCAAGCACTCGGAGAGATGGGTGAAAAAGCAGCGAGCAATGAGCTGATCACTGCTTTGCTGAATGCAATGCATGGTAAAGATGAAAATGTTCGCTGGAACGCATGGAATGCACTGGTAGAGATGAGTAAAAAAGCAGCGACTGATGAGGTGATCAGTGCTCTGCTGAATGCAATGCGTATTGACGATAAATATATTCGAAGGCAGGCGACTAATGCACTTGGAAAGATGGGCGAAAAAGCAGCGACCAATGAAGCGATCACTACTCTGCTGAATGCAATGTGTGATGAAGATGAAGATGTCCGATGGTGGGCATGTGAAGCACTCAGAGATATAGGTGAAAAAGCAGCGACCAATGAAGTGACCACAGCTCTGCTGAATGCAGTGCTCAATGAGAACACACATATCAGAATGGCGGCCGCTGAAGCACTTGGAGAGATGGGTGAAAAAGCAGCGACCAATGAGGTGATCACTGCCCTGATAAATGCAATGCTTGATGGAGATAGAAATGTCGAATGCCGGCTGGTCAAAGTACTGAGAAATATGGGTGAAAACGCAGCGGCCAATGAAGTGATCATTGCTCTGCTGAATGCAATGGATGCTAACGATCCATACGTTCGAGAGGCGGCGACTGAAGCACTTGGGAAGATGGGTGAAAAAGCAGCGACCTATAAGGTACTCACTGCTCTGCTAAATGCAACGCATGATAAAGATAAACATGCCAAATGGAGCGGGATCGAAGCACTGGAAAAGATCGTTGAAAAAGCAGCCACTCATGAGGTGATCAGTACTCTGCAGAATGCAATGCGTATTGGGGATGAAGAGATTCGAATGTGGGCGACTGTAGCACTTGGAAAGATGGGCGAAAAAGCAGCGGCCAATGAAGCGATCACTCCTCTGCTGGATGCAATGCGAGATCAAGATAAAGATGTGCGAAGGGCGGCGATTACAGCAATTGGAAACATGGGGGAAAAAGCAGCTAGCAGTCAGGTGAAGCGTGCTCTCTTCAACGCAATGCTTGATGAAGAAGTGAACGTCGGACACGACGCGTTTCAAGCACTTAAAAGGATGGGTAACAAAGCAACGACCAACGAGGTGATCACTGCAGTGGTGAATGCATCAGGAGGTTCAAGTAATGCTAGGGAGTCCTGGTGTGCTATAGCTCTTGAAGACCTTTTGTGTTCGGGCACAGTCATAGAAGATGTGGATTCAGAGATCGTTACGAGATTGTACTCTTGTTTGCGAGGGTATACACATATCAGCTTTCAAGGGATAGCTTTGAAACACTTGTTCAACATTTATTTGGATTCGGAAAATGATGCATGGCTACCGGTAGTTGCGTATGCGGCGCAGATCCACAGCCACACCCACAGCACACCCTCACACACCTCGACGCAAACCCAAGCATGGCATTCTTATTTAGCCAACATGGTTGTTGAAAGACATCAGACAGACTCGTGTGCTGCTGGTTATAGTANGTGGGTGTGGGTGTGGGTGTGGGTGTGGGTGTGGGTGTGGGTGTGGGTGTGGGTGTGAGGTTTGGGTGTTGACGTGGCCTGGGTGTGGTAGTGTGGGATATGGGTAGTGCTCAAGAGACCAATTATAACCACATTTCCACGCTCAGGCCACGTTAACATCCACACCCACAAATGTCGTAGGAGCATCTACCAGGGAACCATTGACAGATGCAGAAATGAAAACAAGCTAGTGAAGGAACAGTTACTTGTTTTGTCATTTATATTGAACTTTATCATTTTTAAAACCACTACAAAATTATGGTAATTGCCTATTACGGCATTTTCACAGTTTCTTTTTCGTAGTAAAATCAATAGACACCAAACTTTGTCATTATTACAGCATCAACGCTGATACAATCATCTGTCAAGGTTACAAATAGTTTGCTTTTGTTGAATGCAAGACCGATGTATTTTAATGTCGTTTTCAAACTTTTGCAATATCGATTGTAGTGAAAGAATTCGATTTTGAATCTATCTATTTAGATTTTTCAGTTCTGAAAATGTTTCATAGTACTTGCATAATGACGTCCGAAATCAAAGGACAAATAATAACAGCAGATTTGAGATCTTTATTCAAATAAAACATCATAATATTAGCCAATTTCATCTGAGATTGAAATTTCTGATGTCACATTGAAAAGTTACTCGTAATTAGATTCCTAGAAACCTACACAAAAGCAAGTATGGAGTGAGAAAGAAAATGTTTATGCATATTGAGAATTGCAGTCACAGTTTTAGTCAAATCCAAATAATCGATTGAGAAGATCAATAGATTTGGCTGTATTGTAAGAATCTATCATGTAGTACATTTGCATAGCTTACATCTATGAATCGGTGACGTTTCTGATTACTTCTTACTATTTCTCATGCCAATAATCGATATGTATCTTATATGTGTCGTTCTAGTACAGTGTCGTGAAAAACCTATGACAGTGAATTATATCAATATGAACTTCTTTACTAATGTAAACAAAATGGAATTTATGATTGAAAAAAATGAAAGTTCAGTAATAGATAATGCATATTTACGAGACATAATATTTGATGATCAAGTATATTCCTTGTCTATCTAGATTCTCAAGAGGCAAAAAGCATCAATACTCGTATGCATATACAATAATCAATTTATCTGAAAAGAGTCAAGACAACAATGCTTTGGAGTGTTACCTGTTACATTTCGTGTTTCATTCGATTTTGTAGGACTAGAATCAATAGGCAAAAATTAAATCACGATCGGTGGGAAATTATAATGTGTACTTTCTAGTGCGTTTTTCTGGTGATGAAGTTTTAGTTGCAATTTCTTCAAATTTTTCTGCTGCAGTAGTAGCAACTACCTAGAAACAAATAAGATATATTTTCAACATATCAAGCTAAGATATTAAAAATACTTCTTATATAAGCTAATGTGGAACTTATGAATCTGATTTAGACTATATTGAAGGTTCAGTTCCATGCAGAAACTAACTGGTTAGATATTTAGATTGTCCTTACGAAAGTATCGTTAACAGAAGATAACGTTATGAAACTTTCGAAAAGTCTTATATGAATGTTTTTTTCTTGAAACATGTAAATCCGAAGAAAATGCAAGTCAGAGATTATGATTTCGTACCTTCGGTTTTTTGTTTCCATCAAGTTCCAGAGAGATTTCTTTCATCAAACTGAGAAGCTGTTGGCAGGTTGGCCTCTTTTGAGGTTCATGTGCCCAGGCTTTCGAAATCATTTCCGCAAATGAGTGGGGAATATTTGTAGGAATATCCAATCGATCTCCTCGTAAGACAAATGCACAGATTGTTGCATCATCGGCCTCCTCGTATGGTTCACGTCCTGTACCTAATTCCCAGAGTACAACACCAAGGGCATACACATCACTAGCTTCTGTATGCTTTCCCATTTTCAGTACTTCGGGCGCTTTCCATGGTAAAGTACCGACCGAATGATCGAGAGACGATTGACGCAACGTTTCGTAACGTATCTTAGCTAGACCAAAGTCAGCAACTTTGACAAGAAAACCTTTTCCATTCTCTGTCATAAGAATGTTGAGAGATTTGATGTCGCGATGGATAATTGGATTTGGAATTTTATGCAAATAATTGATGCCTTTAGTCATCTGACTTGCAATTGACCATCGATTGATCCATGTTAGTTCTAATGTTTTTCTTCTCAGAACATCGTACAGAGAACCAAGAGACATGTATTCGACGACGAGTGCATACTTTTCGGGCTCCACACATGCGCCAAATATGTTCAGAATATGATCGTAGTGGATTCGATGCATCACTGAAATTTCTTTGACAAAGTCTTCTCTAATGTTTTCATTTAAATGTTGAATTCGAATGACTTTAATGGCCACTTCATCATCTAGAGGGAGCCATCTTCCACGATATACATCAGCAAATCCACCCTGCCCAATACGTTCTTCTGGTACCAAATCGTAATACGGAATATGGAGAAAAGCATGTTTTTCCTCAATGATTCCCTGTACTCTGTGAGGATCGCTTCTTTTCATAATATTCTGTTGGAGATGATGCTTAAATGAATTAAGTCGCTGAACAATATTTTCTTCAATTCCCTTACATTGACGAAGTTGTTCATCTTGTTTTTGAGCCATGAGCGATGCAATTTCATCAAGTTTACATTGAATGGTATTTAGATCCGTTTTTTGATCATTTTCATCCAGTTTAGGATCAAAAATCTGTTTCAAATTAATGCTCAAATTGAAATCAGTGGCATATTGAGTAAGTTGAAGATTCAATTCTTCAAATTTCTCTTTATAGTTTTGGTTTTTGAAAACTTTCGAAAACCATGAGGTTTCATCTTTAAACTGAGTAACGAATTCAAGACATTGTTCAATGCAAGTGTGATAGTTATCCAGAGATTTTTGCAGTTCTGGTCTTTGTAGAGCTTGATTATTCATTGATTTCAGGGTCAAAATTATAGCATCGATTCTTTCTGCTAGTCGCTTGCATTGTTTTTGATTTGCTTTCACTTCTTTAACAGTTTCTTGAATAACTGATGCCACCTGAAAGATAACCTTGAGAATAGCTGTTGGATCCATATCAATTAGAGATGGAGGCTTAAAATACTATAAAGAACGAAAAAAAAAGCCTAGACTTCTCATACAGGAAACATTGGTATAGTAGAGTACATATTGACACCAATTCTATTTCATATGATTCATTTGATTGTAATCATTATAGAAATTTATTGTTTTTCGAGCGAAAATACTTCAACGAAGAAATTAGCTATTTTTAATACATATCATGATTTGTCTAGTACTGATTTCTGCAATAATCATCTACCGTAACGCGAAGGACTTTATCAGACAGAGGATCTTGTGAAACACGATTGTTGAAGCATACTTCGAGAAAAATAAACATCCAGGATGGCTCATAGATCGTGGAAAATATGCGGGCAACCTATTTTGGATTTTTCCTAAATTTTAGAGTTTTGAATCTATTTGAAATCCTGAAGTTTACAGAATCCTGTTTTTCTTATTGTAATACTATTTTTGCGTGTATAATAAACCATTACAAACATTGAAATATAATGATGTCTTGATCTAGTAACAAAGTGGAATTGTAATAACAAAATCTTAATGTGCAACATAATCATCTCCATCAGAACAACGTTTCCAATGATACATATGACCTAACTCGGAGATTTCCATGGAAGGATGGCAGCTTCTCTGCAGAGGCATGACAAAGCTACATCTATTGGTGCAGAATTTCACTATTCACAAATGTAAAAAGTCTGAAATCAAGTGCATTGTCGTTGAAAAGCGCTCGTGGAATGTAGACTTCAATGCTTTCTTTTTAACTTAGTTCATTTCTATAGCTAGACGAATTANTTTTCCCTATAGCTTCCTATGGAAAAATCGACCCATCCCCGCTTTCGTAAAAAACTTTTCCTATCATACTCAAACAAAACTCCAACTATTATATACCATTCGATAGAGAATTTTACGAGCTACAAAATGGTATATAAAACATAAAGAAACACTTAGGCTAACTCACCTATTGCCAAGATAATCAGACAGAAATAGGTTCTGTTTTCGTCCACGCTCTAGTGGATCCGAAAATGGAGCTCTATCTTCCGATCACGAACATGATACTTCGAGGTTTTTTGGGGCGGAGAACTCGAATCTGCCATCCATTTGCCTTGAAATACCATTGGTTGAGCAGGGACCAATAGAAATCAAGTTATAGGAAAAACGACTTTCTTAGGGTAAATCAAGGCAAAGAGTTCAAATCTGAGCTATATTCATCTCCAAATCCTATTGGTTGGGAGTAGCCAATAGAAATCAAGTATTTTATAGAAAAGGTTTGCAGGATAATTTTGATGTCCACACATTCTAGGATGACTCATCTGTCTCATTCACTTTTTGAAGTACACATAACTCTCGGATTTAAATCCGAGGTTTTCGCATTTTTTATTTGAATAATTTCCGGTGATCAAATACCTTTTCCCGTTCCTAATAGGCATTCTTCAAAGACTGAAGTTTTTCGCCAGTAGTTTCATACATTGCAGGCTTCTAAATAAGCTTGCTGTTTCTCTCACAGACTTCTGTGAGATCGGAAATTTTTCACCGTCATCCCGAGAGATGTATTCGTGCTCTGAAGCTCCTATGTACACTTGAAGTTTACCAATGTGACCGTGTTTTTGTACACATGGTCTCATTCAATTCGAAATGACATCATATTGCTATCAATTTCTTATGTCTTTAAGAGCTGAACTTGATGAACAAAGTAAGAAAAAAAGTGGCAGACAAATCATGTTAGGTGTAAACAACATTATGAAATTTAGATGAGTAAAAAGGTCAAACAAATACGAGGGTGGGTGTGGAATAATAAATGAACAGGGTAAGTAACTGATATACAATGACAAATTGATCGGCTTAAGTAAAGTCAATCATGGATGGCAACATCATATTTACATCAATCGTTTCTAATATTCGAAGCCCCTTAGCACTAACTATACAACATTGAAAATGATTTCTTTTGTTTTTCGAATCTTTCTAATAGTTCGCTTACCACGGTCAAGTAAATGAAGTTACCACATTCCAGGTAATATTAATTGATGTGTTGCTGTTACTTCGAATATTTTGTGTCTTTGATCGTTTGCTTAGTTTCTCCAAATGACTCAATTCTTACTTTTGTAATATGGCAACGCTTTCTCTTCTGTTTCTGTCTGCTGTGTCTCCTTTTTTTTCTTTTTTTTCAAATTATTTTTCAAATATGTCCCCTATTGAGAAGTACTGCACATGGTAATAGTAAAAAATTCACGGGAAGAGTCAACAAAGAGTGATGAAAAAAGAAAAAAAAAATCATATTTGTTAAAATGAAAATTATGTCCAATGAAGTACACAGATCGATATTCCTTTTTGTATAATCTGAAATGGTTGAAACTGTTCAAAATTAGACTACGACGAACAATGAAATAATTTTTTTACAGTTAGCAGAACGTGATTGTTCTAAAAACAATTTTTATATTTTATTTCCTACTGAAATAGATCAAACTTATGTTAAATGTACCATATTATCTGTATGCGACAGAGACAAATGTCAATGAGAAATGCTCAAGTTCACTTTTAACTATCCTTAAGAGCATCAAATAATGTAACAAGTATCACAAAAGAAGGTCAATCGATAGGTGTTATTCTAACATGCAGTAATATAATAAACAGTTGGGATATTTCGTTTTTTACGCGTATTGTTAATGACAATTCAAAATAATTGACTTCAGTTAGAACAATATTAGCTGATGGTAGAAGTCGGAGACATTTCTTCAGTCCGTCAGTTGTTGTCATTACACCGAAAAACCTATACAAAAATAGGTCAACGACAATATTTCATTTAGGAAATGAAAAGCTTCTTTCATGTTATTCAAGAACTGCACCAACATAATCTTTATGCTTTCTCTTCCTAACTAAAAGTTAAACGATGAGATTCATTATCAAAATCATATCATGCTTTTATCATCCCTGACAAAAAAACTGTAGTCGCTATAACTGCCATCGAAATTTGACCATTCATCATACTCAAATTGAGTTAGATTTTTTGTGTTACTATTCATAAGTACAATAGTATGATAAATACCAGTATATCTAGTATGTAAACCAATAAGATTAGGTTCAGTTGATTGCTGCAACATCTGCGAGATATAATACATTTCACAACAATTACTGAGGCCACGAACTAATGCTTCAAGATTAATAAAAATCGTAGCCACCATCAGGTTTGATAATGTTTTTATGAACCTATTTAAGAATATCTTCTTCTATTTTTGTTCGAAAAAGTGTCACCGAATCCATGATCAGATTACGTAAATAAAGATTGATATAGTTTTCTTTTCTCTTTATATCTATCAATAGTCTCAAAATCAGCAATATTATAAAGAGCTGTATAACGTGTATAGTGATCTCCACGCATATTTTCAACTTTATTTCATTTGATCCATATTCGTATTGGGCAATTTTTCAATAAAGTTTTATTCTTAACCATATTAATAGTTAATTACAATAAATAGTGATAATGAATCAAAATAGTTGGATATCACACAAGTTTATTTGATTTTCGTGCTTTAGTCGATCGTACCGAATCCATTTATAATCAGAGAAATCAATCAGATGCTTAAATTCGTGCTTCATTCATTGAAAATCGAAAAAAGTTTCTTTTTTTGTGAAAGATGTCGATAATCATATCGCTCATTTCAATTAAATTCTAATGCATTTCGCGCTAACTAAGTTGAATTATCTCAACAACACTTATTATTCGTGTCTATTTTCACTTCACACTTACCATAAACCAGTCAAGAACTATCGAATTTTTTTGTGAGAATCAAAGAAAAACACGTTCGAGTAGGCTTGATCACAATATTTGCGCTCTAATATATAATAAAAACAGTTCCATGTACAGAGTATTCCAGAAAAACCTACCAAAAGTTATATCATTTCATTTAACTATTAACTGGACTTTATCGATTAATTTTTTTTGTATAATAGATTAATACACTGAGCTTTCATTTCTGCAGACAAGCTTCAAAAGCACTGATGAAATCTACGACCTTTTACCGAAATATCAAAATTTAGCTTGTTTTCTATTTTCCGAAAAATTCATGGATTATAGCTGTTTTAGTTGCTTGGGTTTTGATGTGACATAATGCAATTCGTTTTTGTCAAGAGATATCAAAATAAAATGCTATGAAAAGATTGTTAAAGAATTGGACAGTTTAAAGATTCGAATCACTCAATAACTAAAGTTAATTTAAAAAGAAGGGCTCCGTAATGTTAATCCCGAAACAGAACACAAGCTAAATTTTTGGTATTTCGATTAAAGATCTTAGTTTTCGACAGTGGTTTTGAAGTTTGTCTGTAGAAATAAAAACTCGGTGTATTTATCTATTATATAAAAAAAATTAATCGATGAAATTCAGTTAATAGTGAAATGAAACGAAAAAACTTTTGGTAGGCTATTTCTGGGACATCCTGTATGTATAAGTAAACAAAAATGTATCGATGTATTGTGTAGAGAATTGATATTGTTATCAACAATAACATATTTCTCTCTAAAATTTTGTAGCATTCTTGTTATCAATATTTATTGGAGTGTGAGCTAGATGTGTCTACAAAATAAAATCATGCTTCATGTATATTTATAAGTTTTATTCTTTTAACTTAGCATGATACGTAAACATAAGAAACAAATAGCTTTAAATATTTTAGAGTATATTGTACAAAGATAAATTTTGAATTTCGACTCATGTTTAACTGAGAACTCTTGTTCATTAAAGAATAAAAACAGCTAAGAGCTTCATCGTTGGTAATTTTAGAAAAAAAATGATCAGCTACATTGCACTATTATTTCAAACTTTATCGCTTGTGGGATATATGCTATGTTTAGAAATATTTCAAAACCTTTTATCTATTGATTTTATACTAAAACATTGAACATAGAACGAGAATCTGTTATTGCTTAGGTTGCCTTGTTTTGGTAAAATATATCTTCTAAAAATTGTTGTATTGTGTTGATAACAGAAGGTTTATTATTAAGACATATTGTTTAAGTGACAAATATGCATCATAAATAAAATCCATTTCAAGAAAACGTTTTTTAACGCAGTCCGTTTGAGGCTGCACTGTGGTGCTCACACATTTCGTTAAAGCTAGTAGATACTTTAGTATAAAACTTTATTTTTAATGTAATGCAATATTCTTGAAAGTTTGGCAGAGATTTCATAATATTCATATGCTGGGTAACACAACAAGCTACTAGTCATGATATTCAGCAAAGAGGATATCCAACTCAATGCCCATATGCCAATGAAGTTCAGAATTTTGATTGAAGTTCGTATGAATGTGAGTGGGTTTCGTGAAGTAGTTGATTAAAATAAGACCTACCTCCACATCCTTACTTCAGTATTCTGAAATCGGGAGATATATGAGTATCGAACTGGGTGTTCATCCTGCTGCGCCAAATTCATTCAAAATCGTAAACTTGGCAGCACACAGCTATGCCGAAGTCATGATATAGAGTTTGTGTGTGTGAGAGTATCCCAATTCTTCACTGTCACACACACTCATACCTACATTCATCAAACTCGCTTGAAAAAAACAGTATAATCATTCTCAGAATCCGATTTATTACCATTAGACGTGTAGGTATCAAAGGCATTAGTATCATCATAGTTGACCAGTGAAGTTCAGAAACAATTGCAGAAGCGTTTTTGATCGAAAAAAGAAAATGATGAACCATCCATCACTGGTAGTGATAAATTGGCAAACCTGTTTGCACTATAAACTTTGAGAGAGCCAAAGATGGCTTCAAAAAAAACAAAAGGATAGGCGTATAATATCATAATCATTGTTGGGTGAATGTGAGCCCAAACTTCAACGTTTTCTCAGTGAGATATGGTACCAAAACATGATATAGCTCTTTTAGACGAACAGGAGACTATCGATTGGGAGAGAGATTAGATCGACAAAAGAATACTGTGAAGTAGGGAAGAAAGAACTCTGACGCAAATTCAGATGGATCTACAGATAATACCCAACGGTTAAAATGGCGCATACTTTTTTGTATGCTATCGGCATGATTCTACAATATGATAATATTTGTTTCGTTTAATTAAAGGATTCAAAGTAGTCAAACAATGTCTGCCATTACGTAGCTAGGCTGCATTCGTCTTGACTGAGAGTCAATTTTATTAATGGATTTATAATATGATAAACTCGTGATTTATTTTAAGACGGCTGCAGCAATAGCTCGATTTATCATACGCACAGTGTCAATCATCTTTTTCACGCCAGACATTTGTGGACCATTTTTGGTAGCGAAATTGTTTTTCGTATATCCCCACCAATCCCAACAACCCATTGGATTCATGGGAAAAAGCAACGATGAACGGACTTGTGGAAAGATCACAATCAAATTGTTGAGTTCGGCTACTTCCAAATAACCAGCCTTTCGAACGAAGACATCGTCAACATAAGCTTTACCTATAAAAGAAAGACAAGTTGGATTAGTGAAAGTAGAGCACATTTCAATCTTTACCTTGCTTGCATCCGTGCAGTGCTACATGGATAGAACACTCCTGACCTCTAGTGCAAGCTGATGGAAAATAGACAAAACCTTCATTGTCAAAACTGAGCGAAGATGCACGTGTTTTTGCCGCTTTGCGTCGTATCGGCACTGTAACACTGGATACTGTCCAATTAAAAAGACCCGAGGTTGGCCAACCCCAATCGATGGGGTTGTACAATGAAATACTGTCTTCAATCCATCGGGATGAAGGATTGTTACCAACACTTAATAATGGCGGAGGGTACATGAATGCTTCTTGATCAAACAATATCATTTGACCGACGAGTGGAGTTTTGAAACCCGATTCCGGTTTGATCAAATGATTGCCGTGAAGATGATTCAGCAAATCGTAAGCCAAACTGAAATTACTAAACGAGCAAAACCGAAACAGTCTATTCATTCTCTCATATTGCATGTATGTATTTTATGGATACTAACCAGTTGTTGATATAAGTGTCCAAGTTCGGAATGGCACATTTACCACCAAAGGTTTCTGTTGGAAAGCCATGCGTAGCCGGCATATCGTAGTTGGTTTTGAGGTTTGCACCTAATGGTAAATATAGTTTTTCATTCAGTTTGACCAAACCAGGAAGAGCTACTGGATCATATTTCCCAGAAAAAATGTAAACTGGGTCATCTTTTATATTAGCTAGCCTATCGATACTGCCATCTTTCTCGTAGGATTTCAATTGGCGTTCGAGCACTGGTACAGAAACCGATGTAACCGGACCCGTCATGCATGCAGCAGCTGTCAAGATATTACCAGCACAATAGTAAGGTGGGCCAGCCAAGACGGCACAGCCACTGATTTCATTCGAGAACGCAAAATGCATTTGGGTGGCCATTGTTGCACCGGACGAAGCACCTGATATAGTAATAATTGTTTGTGAAAGAGTCGCCTGAACGCATGATACCACAACTAGAACAACAATGAAAGCGATGGCGTTGCACAAAGCTGACATTCTATTTTTTTTCTATTCTTCTTTGCTTTCAATTTCGAAATCAGCACCAAAATAAATAGGCGCAACAGTATCGAAAGGGATTTGTAATTGGAGACGAAGCAAAACAATATTTTCAATTTAGCTAAGCTGCCCTTGTTATTTAAGCTGCGTATAGAATAGACTATATGATGAAGTCAATTTCTGACTTTGATTGCATCTCTCTCGAATAATCAAAACAGATATTTATATTCGAGAAGCATTTCTTCGTCCAACATAAACGATTTTCATTATTTGCAATGGATCGGTGTGTAGACTGACTATATTTTCATTCTGTTTGTGTGTGTGCGAATACTTGTGAGTATGGATGTGGGTATTCGAGTATTTTCTTCACTGACATCCACATCCACACCCACGTCGAAAACATGGCAGTTGAAAAAACGATCCCATTAGGGAGTAGGTTTCTTACTAAGTTTATGCAGTGGTTTAAATAGCGTCTTCTTTTGGCTTCGCAAGATAATAATATTCATTGCTGTTGCAATAAAAAAGTGACGGTCGGTACTTTCTTGACCTTATATTCTCGTGCTACCTAATATGTGATTTCTAATATGATGCATTTGAAGGACTCAGTGCCAAATGCTTCCTCATACTTGTGACATTGTCGACTAAGTGAATGCTTGATGGACTCTCATGGAATTTCATTGATAAATATTTTTTTAAACATGCTCTACTGTTATCGTCAAGTTTGTAAATTTCAAAGTGAACAGAATCACGACATTACACTCAAGGGTGACATTAGGTGCTTGTTCGATGTCCTCTATCGATTCAAGTACTGTCCAAGATCGTTGCATTTTTTCATAGTCTGTCATCTACTATTTGGTGATTATTATGAGTAGGTGGCGACAACGAAGAGCAGTGTAAAAATTAAACGTCACTGAAAAAAAGAAAGTTGTACAACGGAAGAAAAAAGGTTTAACTCTATAGATACTTGAATCATCACTACCGTCAATGTTTACCCATGCGAGTTGACAAACGCAAACAAATCGAACAGAGAAAAAAACTTATTCGTATTGAAGGATCATTTGACAGCACTCAAAATCGAGTTTTGAAATTGAAATGGAGAAAAAGGTAAACGTATTCCTATTCAGGCGATGTAGAATAGATGCTGAAATTATCTGTAAAGAATATCGTTTACGAAATATCCCTGATTTTTTGTCCTCGTAAAAAATGTCCCAGATATTTCGACCTTCAGAAAATGTCTTTCACAGTAAATGCCCTTGGTGAAACCGTTCTTGAGAAATCATTCCTCGTATGAAAATGGCCCCGATCTTCAATCATTAGTTTTTAAATATAATGTTATTGGAACGTAGACAACACTGTAATCCAAACATATGTCAGTAGGTATTTAAGTTATTTATATAGAGAATTTATTTCTACATGAAATGAATCGAGAATGAACGAAAAAGAGTGTGGCATGGGCGGCCCGATCCTTTTAACTTTGGGGAGAAGGGTAACAAATTTTTGACCGAGGTAGTGTCTTCAAAAAAAAAAGACAACAAAATATTTGATCAGTCAAATAGATCAAGTGGCCAGTAAAAAAATATATAAATGATCAAAATAAAGACTAAATGATCAGTTCTTTACATTTGCTTAGCAGTAAAAAAGTTAATTTATATCAGTAAAAACCACAGATTTGATTAGTAAAAAATGCAGATTTTATCAGCAGAAAAATAACTTTTACCAGTAATGAGTATAATTTTTCATAAGAAAAATAAATTCAAAAAAATACAGAGAAAATAATAAATTCAAAGAATGAATGAATAAGAAAGAATATGAAAATTGAATTATTGCATTACCAAAGTTGGTTTTTGTGTTCTGGTTCGACTTCATTGTTTTCTCTCACCGATCTGGACTGCCTTTGCTGCTACTGCAGGTTTGCAATATTTCAATATGGAACTCGTATAAGTTTCTCATTATGAGTCACTCGCATATTGAGCAACTTTGCCATACATCATGCTTCCATCGTTCTTGCTTGTTCACACTAAGTTGAAGATGAAGGCAAGAAAAGAAGAAAAAGATATATATATTAGCATCCAAACTGCAATTACATCTGTGTCTATTGTCAGATTTGGTGAAGAGTATGAATTAAAACGCGAGTTACATAGTTTCTAGATTGACGTCAACTAGAATACTTACTGATAAAATCTGATCAAACAATGACAGATCAGTCGATGCTATTATCAAGAAGAGTCTGAATTTGACGTCGATCTATATATTCATTCAAGTTATAACGCCTACTCTCCATCCGATTCGGCATCGTGCGTGTCCAATCTCGGACTTCAGATTTGCCGGAGCCAATCCGATATTGGACATATCTCAGTTTTGATTCTGCCGTATATATGTCTGTTGTACTGATCATGTACACGTTATAGTAAAAAGACAAAGAAGGAAGAAGGAGAACTATAAATAAATCATTCTATAACGCATTTTAATTTCTCTACTTACTCTTTGATTTAATTGACGGTTAATCAATTTTATTTATTGATTTTTAAATTTATTAAACAATCTAATTAATAAAAAACTGACTATTCAATTAATATACTGATCACTCATTCAATTTACTGATAACTCAATTATTTTACTGGTAAATCATTCAATCGACTAGTTGCATGATTACTTAGCTTACTGATCACTTGATTTATTTTACTGATCACTTAAATCATAGCCTAAAAAGCAATAGATTTATAATTGTTTGTTTTGTGTTTTTTCCGAATAGGCAATACAGTTCAATAAATATTATCGCGTAAAGTAAGCATGCATTAAAAAGAAGAGACACGCACACAAAGCTATAACGATAGAAAACTGAATCAGTAAAAGAGGAATACACACATGGTTCAAACTAATCAAGATTAAGAAACAGACCCATATATTTTTTCAGCACAATTAGTGTGATTTACTTTAGCTAATTATGTAGCAACAAAGTTTTTCGACTCAAGAGCACCTTATGGAATGAAAAAAAAACTCGATTTTACCATCGTTCCTTTTGAAGAAGAAAACTGTCTTTGTGTGAAAGAGTACTTAGGTCGATTATAATTGTATAATAGCCACTTTTTCTCCAAGCGAAAAAATGTTGATTTCACTCTATATCTTGTTCAATACGTGCTTATTTAGGCGAGTATGGTTTTAAAAAGAGCTAACAAACTCCCACTTTATATTTGTTTTTCGACCTTTTAACTGGTACAAATAACATAAATTTCCAATTATTGGGGTGTCACTTTCCTGACAACTCCTCGCACAATGGACAGCCAGTCGACATAATATTTTTGCTGGAACTCTTATTTTCTCATTCGCATGACATACAAAAACGTTGCATAATGTCTCATATGAAAGCGTATTAAGCGCTCTACAGAACGCATATTTAATTGTTGTTAAAAGTTCTTCGCTCCAAAACATTTCATCAAAAGTACTGGAAAAGTTTTTTTGCTACTTACTTTTGCTTATCGTTCACTGTGGCCCGATTGGGCCACCGCTGGGTGTGGGTGAAGAGCCTCCACATACCCACTGACACCCACAACACTCACGCGTCTGCCCACGTTATTAACACTATCACAGAGAACTGTTCATATTTCACTTCAAGGATATTTTTCCAGGGCATCATACTACTAAACGTCATTCCTTAATGACATTTGTACCAAAGACATTTACTTTAAAAGACAGTTTTTTTAAGGACGAAAAGTCGAGTCTGTTTCGTAAAAGGACATTCGACACTGTTACCGCAAAGTGATTTTATTATCATGCCAAGTTTACTACAGGGTTCTCTTTTCAGATATTTTTCATAATGAAGAATGCTCTTGCATTGAAAAAAGAACAGGATCATTCCTGGATAGAGCTTGTGCGGTAAGCAGCTGAACAATAAGAGGGAGCACTCTTCGGTTCGACGTGCAAGTTGTACTCAACGAAGCAATCCACTAACGGTTCCGTGGCTCAAGAGTCTTGCTTATGCGGTCGTCTCCCACGAAAGGACAGTTTCACAGGAGAACCATTCACCGAGCTCATCGAGACAAGCGATGTTTGGGAGAAGTTTGGACATGCTCATGAAGCACCAGTGACGATCTACGGAATATTACGAAACAAAATTAAGGTGCAGCACTAGACAAAAGTCTGCCACTCTTCGGATCTCACTTACCATTAGGGCTGGATGTTTGAAAATTTCAGTGCACATACTTCATCTGAAGTTCAGGTCAGTGCCGTCAATTGTACTTTTACTCTATAAGATGTTCCTAAACTGAGAAACAAAAATGTAGAGTTTTAACTCCAGTTCTAAAACGATGGGCCAAGTACCGTAAAGTTTCACATCAGCTTGTTAAAATTACGCTGACTCTAGATGCTATTAATAACGTCTGACTATCTATTTGACTGTTGATGCTTTTGGTAAAATATGTACACTCCTAGAATGCGTTGATGAAACTCGGTAAAACCTGTAGCGCTGTTAGTTGCATCACAGTGCTCGATAACCATTGACTAATCAACTCATCAGGTTCTTATTTTCGAGAGTTATTGGATTAACTGAGGAAAAAAAGTTAATGTTCGTTATAACTATATCTACACTCACACCATTGATTTGAAGAGATGTTATCGGCCTAAATTTTTAGGTTAATATATGCGCACAAAAGTTTTCACGTCCAGTCCCAGCAGTAGCTGGAATCCTGATGATAGGACACTTTTTTCAGTACTAGACAGTGATGAACTACGAAATCAAATATCTTTAAATGACATATAGTTTATTCGATGGAACTACTCACGAGTCAAAAAGTCGTCGACAACCTCGAATAAACCACAAACAAGGGGATATTTTTACTTTTCTGTTGCCAAATTTCATCAAAACGAAGGGGTCAGCCTAGAGTTGTTACATTTTATCTTTTGCAAAAAAAAGAGTCATATTTGAGCTACTTCTGTTTTCGAAAACGAACCAAATATGATTAAGTTTCTTGAGAAAAACAAAACTTCTGTGTCTACATCAATCT